AATAAAGGATAGTAAATTTGACTTAAGAGGATGAAGCTGTGAGCAGAATATGTCTCTACAGAACTCTACAGTAAATTTTCTGTGTAGGTCCATATTTGCTTGTCTCAGGGAAATAAACCTCGTATCAATGAGTGCTTAAGAGTTGACCCTTTTCCTTACTGAAGAATAAAGTTACCTGGTCTGTCAAAAAAAATACTCCAACGGAACATCAATGTGACAATTTTTATAGATGAATTTATCTGTTTATGAACACGTATACACTGTTGATTGGTCTCCAAATACAATGGAAATGGAATTGGATGGAAAACAGTCAAAGTTATTTCTGAATTATCAAACCCAAACTGTTGAATTATCAAACCTACGTTCAACAGTTGTTTAATTTTCCAAATGTTGAGATCCAAATGCAGATATGCCTATAAGACACAAAGTTCAGGGAGCTCTATGCTATGCACAAGCGAGTCAGGTCTGGGAACGTTTTTGTCATGGCATTGTGGAGCTGATTTCCTCTTACCTGGGCTAATTAGCTTTTATGCAGCAGTGCAGTAATGCAGCTATCCTACCTGTGGATTTGGCCCTCACTTGCAGCTAAGATGATGACCTTAACTCACTGCAGTGCCTGGGCAGCACCGTGACTTGCAATTGTCAATATGGAACAGAAATGAAAAAGAAATCAGTCAATTTTATAATGGTCAGTGACAAATGCTGTAGCTGCTCTGACTGAAATGAATATAAGCATATTCATCTCTTGCTAAATTAAGGCATACACGTACATGAGGACAGTATTCTCAGAAGTACGACGAGTCTCCCTTTCCTTGCTTTTGGTGGTGCACTATCACAGCAGTGATCACACAGCAATGTTCCTGTCCCTGTTTCCTTCAATGTACTCTTAGGCTAAAATCAGCTGCTGGGACAGTAACCCCTCTGAGTCCTGGTCTGAAGAAAGGCTTCTAACTAGCAGCCCTTCTGTCAGTGTAACCTTGTGAAAATGAGACAAAAAGAAAAAATTGTGCCTCTCAGGTTTAAAATACTGCTTTGGAGTTGTTTTCTGCCTGACACATACAGGAATGGCTAAATTTTAACACAGACCTAGGGCTCATGTTCCTCTTATAGAGCATGGGGTTGAGCAGAAAAAACAGAGAAGCTGAAGCAGAGGAGAGTTGGCTGTTACAAGAACTATTCTTTTTGTGTGTTCAATTTTCCAAGAGCACTTGGAAAAAAAACAAAACAAAAAAAATAAGTCAATTTCGTCTTTGCTTCATTCAGCCACTGCAGGAACCAGGAACAAGTCTGGATCTTTCAGTTGGTCTGCACAAGTTCCCCTCACTTCAACGAGCAGCATGGTCTCAGTTTCTTTTTTCTTCTCTTAAGCCAAATGAATATCCTGATCACACAGGTAAGTGTAAAGGGTATCAACCACAAATACTTAGCTAATTTGTTACCCACATTTTAAAATTAATGCTGAAACCTTGCTGCAGCACCCTGCTCGGGGAATTTTTATGAGGTTTGGATTAGGAAGGTCCTACTGGTCCTGTTAGTGGGAAATAACATGGTATACTGACATTTTTATTTCAACAACTGTGTCAAATGTCCATTGGGCAAACCTGCCTCCTACAGCTCCCTGGGTGTACTTGTGAATAAATAAGCCTTAAGGTGCAAAGCAAGGGCACAAAACACAAAAGGTGAAAAAGACCTCTTTGCTTCTAGTTTGGAGCAAGGGGAGAAGGCCATGCAAACAGGATCTCCATGTCCTAGGGAAGTGGGCTGAGGAAGGAGTGGTACTCCTCTATAACCTTGGCCTCCCTGTGGAAGAGGATGGCAGGGCTACAGCCACTGTTGCTGAAGTTAAGAAGACAGAATGAAAACTGGATTCAAATTGTGCAGTGGGTTCAAGGCACAGGGTAGAAAACATTCTCCATTTGTATAAAATATAGATTTGTATGTAAATATTCAACAATAGCTTCTGTAGTAATGAATAAGAAATAAATTGCTTATTTGATGTATGATAAAACCACTATTCTGCACAGATGATGCAGATGACACTTGATTTATATTGTCTTGCAAAAGCTTAAGACAATTAAGGAGAAAACTGTTCTGAGACATTCCATCGACAAAATTCTGGTACAGCTAACAGCAATGTGATTCACACAAGGATCATCTGGCATGTGAAGCTTGTTTTAACAGATACCAATGTGACATACATAAAGCTGTCAGGCTTTCTCCAAAGGACAGTCATCTACTTCATGTTTCAAGTGCCAAATTAATTATATTTGACATTTAATTTATAACCTAAGGTATTTTAGATTCGGAACTTGACTATGACAACAGCAGATTAGAGCAGGGCCCTGTTTGACAGAATCGATTTTTCAATTTATTTTCCTTGTATGTGAGGGTCTTGATTCAGATTTTTTGTCTCGAGCTTGAGTACAGGACAACGATACCTCTAAGCAAAGAAGGCTTCGTTCACCTCCTCCCCCAGCCATTTCGTGGGGAATTATTTTGCACTCGGAAGTAAGTTTCTTCTGCAGCCTTAATCACAAAGCTCCACCTAATGGAATGAAGGGAGAACTGTGCCCAGAAAAAGAAAGGGAGAGAGACTTTGCTAAACACTGCTATCAAGGGGAAACTACTACACAACAGTAAGCAGTTAATCTCCTCCATCTAATTTATAAAATCTCCTTTTCCAAGGTCTTTAAAACTTTGAGGTTTAAGGGAGGAAAGTCATAACAAAAAACCAAAAAACAACAACAACAAAAAAACACTCAACAACCCCCAGGTTTCATCTGACTGAAACTGTGACCTTTTTATTTTAACTGATAGATATTTCAACACATCAATACTAATATTTTACACTGGTAGATCACATCTTCTAGGTTCCAAAGCATCTAAAAATTATAAATATAAAATAACCTGTAAGTGTAGGCATGTGTTTACTGCTAGATGGTTCATTATCAAAAGTAAAATTGCTCAATAATAAAACTATCAACTAGCTATCCAAAAAGGGGCAAAGCATTTCTTTCAATTTTTCCACTGAAAAGGAAGCCTTTCTGTGTAATTTTAGATCATGCATTGATATCACAGAGCTGGAACACTACTGGAACACTGCTGGAACAATATCATTACAAAATACTGCTTAAAGAAAGGAGCTGATTAATGTTAAAAAGCTCTGCAAAGAGCAAGGCCATTTTCAAGGCAGGTTTTTTTGTTTTGGGGTTTTTTTTCTAATTAAGTGCTTTGCAGACGTTAATATAAAAGATATAATAAAGCTTAAAAATCCATCAAAATTTCAGATTTGCTCCCCAGCCAGAGGAAGGCTCAGTGTCCACTTTCAGACTTTTTCTATAACAGAAGGCACAAATCTAAATGTCACCTTGTATCAAGATAAAGGGTTTCACTGGAGAAACAGGACATTTGTCAGGATCATCTTATCTGAGATGACTAACGCAGTGATAGCCCTGAGTCTTCATTGTGAAAATGTCAGTAGTAGGACAAGATTAGCTCATTCTTTTTAGTAAAAAAATGTTAGTTTGGTATTTAGTTTGGTGTCTTCTATCAAGAATTGCACTTTGATACTCTGCACAAATAAACCTGGAAATCTAAAATTGTTTTAATTCCTGACATTTATGATCAGACATAAGAGTATGACATCTGCAGCAGAGTATCTTCCATTGGAAAGGTGATTAAATCACGTCTTCATCAAATCTCAAATACACTGAAGTGCAGTTAAATCAGGCTACTTCATGGCCAGCTGAGATTTTGTGGGTTTTATCTCTTAACTCTACTACTACTATTAACAGTGGTGATTAGGATGATTTTCTTAACCCTACTTTTATCCCTCCTCCTCCTTTGATGCCCTTGGATGGCAGCTTGGTTCTGGCTGACCTTTCATTTCTCAAGATCCCTAGTGATGCAGCTCTCCACAAAACTTCAGCTCCCCTAAATTTGGCTGCACTTGGACAACGAGTACAAGATTTGCTAGGTGGAAGAAGGCAGGACAGGCGAACAGATGGATAGAAGTGGTGTAATGGTTCCTGAGAAGCCCAGAAGGGAGGGACAGTCTGTGTGGACAACCTGAGGGCATCCCCCAGGGCAGCAGCTTTTTTATATGGAACTGAGCCATCCATGGAACCGAACAGCGAGGGGCCGGCAGGCCAGGACACCGGGAGTGCGGGGAGCCGGGGGCAGAGCTGGAGCTGTCCAGAGAAGCTGGGGAAGGGTCTGGAGCACAAGTCCTGTGAGGAGCAGCTGAGGGAGCTGGGGGTGTTGAGCCTGGGGAAGAGGAGGCTCAGGGGGGACCTTATCGCTCTCTACAGCTCCCTGAAAGGAGGGTGTAGCCAGTGGGAGTCGGCCTCCTCTCCCAGGCAACCAGCAATAGAGCAAGAAGAAATGGCCTAAAGCTGCACCAGGGGATGTTCAGGCTGGGCATCAGAAGGAATTTTTCCACAGAAAAGGCGTTGGAATGGGCTGCCCGGGGAGGTGGCGGAGTCACCATCTCTGGAGGTGTTTAAAGACAGACTGGACGTGGCAGTCCGTGCCATGGTCTAACTGACATGGTGGTGTTGGGTCATAGGTCGGATTCCGTGATCTCGAAGGTCTTTTCCAACCAAACAGATTCCGCGAAACCGCACGGCCCGGACACCTCCGCGCCCCACCCGCCCCACGGGTGGGCAAAGGGGCGGCCCCGCCTCCTCCGCCCCTCACGGATGCCCCGCCCCCTCCGCAAGGCCACGCCCCGGAGGCGCGGCTTGGCGCGCGCCCGCCCGGCCCACCATGAGGCCGGGGACGTGCGGGGGAAACTGAGCATGCGCTGTCGTGACCCCGCTGCTCTTCCCTCCCCCTCCACCGGCTCAACGAGGAGGCTCCCTTGGGTTCTGATTGGCTAGTCGGTTCTTTCGGGCCAATGGCAGTGGCGCTTGCTTCGGCGGAGCCGTAGCGCTGCCCGCCAATGGGGAGAGCGGTTGTTGCCGTACTCCTTCCCTGTCCCGCGTGTCCTGACGCGCAAGATGGCGGCAGCGGTGAAGGGTGCGGAGGAGCTGGAGCTGTTGGAGCGGCTGCTGGGGCTGCCGGGCGGGAACAAGTACGGCGTCCAGGGGGAGCGGAAGGTGAAGGGAGCGAGGAGGGGCCTGGAGCGGGTGGCGGTGGCGACGCGCGTGGGAGGGCGGGCGTGCTCTGGTCTCCTTTCCCCAGTGGCTGCTTCCCTCCGAGCTTCCCTTCCCGCCTCCCTGGCAATTGCCCTCAGACACCGATGTGACGGTGACTGCGGCCCCCAGCCGACGTCTCCTTGAGTGGGGTCTCACTTGTGTTCTCTTCAGCCCTTCCCTCATCAACTCACGTATGTTGTGGGTGTTGTAGGGCCTTGCTGCCTGTGAACTTGTAGGTTCTGGAAACTCCTTCCGTCTGCTTGTGGGAAGGGTCATCATGTTTCATGGAAGAGATTTCGACTTGACTTTTACTTGTTTCAGCACTCTCCTTTCTCTGCGTGTGAATTATTTCTGTGCTATCTTGATTAAATGACATGGGAAGAAAAAGGAGCTGTTTTAAAAATAGGAAGATGTCTGTATTGAGGACGCGTTGCTCTTAAATATTTTATAATTTTAAAGTACTCCTACCTGACATGAGGTTGTAGTAGGGTGGGAACCGGTCCATCTACTGTGCCTGCAGTGGGAGGACCAGAGGAAATAGCCTAAGCTGAGACTAGGGAGATTCAGATTAGATATTACAAAGTATTTTTCCCTCTTGTGGTGCTGAGGCATTGGAATAGATTGCCCAGGGATTTATTGGAGTATCCATTTCTGGAGATGTTTAAGAGGTATCTGGATGTGGCACTGGGTGATGATTTAGCGGTTTAGGGGTTGCAGTGGCAGTGCTGGGTGGATGCTGGACTGGATGATTTTAAAGGTACGTTCCAACTTTGTTGATTCTATGGTTCTAGATGTTTTAATGTTTCAAAGTTTGTATGGAAACCATAGGTTCCAGGGTTTAAGAGGCACTTGAGGCATGAAAAGTGCAATGTGGAGCTGGGAGTGTCACAAATTTGTGAGCCCTTTGTTTGATCCTCCCTCCTGGAGAAGGTTGTTTGACAAATGAAACTCTGCAGTTGCCTTACGTTTTGGGGTTTTTTTAATTGACTGTTTATGATTGGAATCCTGAATATCTATATGTGTTCTTCAGTTGCAAAAACTGCCTTAATTATTTTACAGCCCAGCTGGTATTTACTGCTATTACCATAAAGCATAAGGCTGAAAAATTCAAGTAACTAGGTCTGTGTGTAGTTTTTCTGGCTGGATGCTCAGTGGAAAAAAACTTAATAGTAGTGAAAGACTCTTGATATAACTCCAAAAATAATATTGTGCTTTCAGCTTGCACCTTAGATTAAATAAATCTGCACACAGACTGCTCTGTGTGGTCAAATACTTTAAAAGAGTGTTGTGTTTTAATCAGTTTCTTTCATTTTATGTCATTAAGTCATAAGTGCCTGAACAGGCTTTCAGCCTTTTCAGTTCAGTCACTTCATTTCTTGAGGTGGTGGTTCAGTTTCCTTTCCCACAGCTTAACACATGCTACTGTCACTCACAAAGACATCATGGCTAAAGCTGGACGTGTGTTGTGTTGTCCTGCTGGTACCAGTGAGCCCTGACTGCTGTTCAGGGCATTTTGGAATGGTGCAGTACTTAGGAATAAGCTTTTAAGGAGGTGTGGTTACTGCAGCGTGCTTGCTCAGAGAGACGTTGGATGCTAATGACTTCTGTCTTAAATCAGAGTCCTGAATTTGGAAATGAGTTAGAAGCCCGTTAATAAGATTTCTGCCAGTGTTAGAACAAGCAATGCTATTTCTGCCTAATATTGGCAGAATTTGCTTAACTGGAGCTAAAGGTGTCTTGGTTTGTTCATGTTCTTCTGTAACAGTTAAAAATAAAATACCCCAAAGAGCAAAAAGTGAACACAGACTTGGTTTTGATGGCACCACCTTTACTGTGAATGCTTCTAAGTTCTAATCTATTGCTTCAAAGGTCCTTTTGAGGGAACATAAAAAGAAACAATAGCCATTCATATAGAAACTGCTTTCTACGATTATTTGTTTAGTCTTATACTTGTGTTACCACTTCCAGGTTCCTGTTCTCCAAACCAACAATGGCCCTGGGCTGACGGGGCTGATGACCATTGCTGCCCATCTGGTCAGGCAAGCTAGGAAAGACCAACTGCTGGGAAGCACTGCTGAAGAGAAGGCTGTGGTGCAGCAGTGGCTGGAATACAGAGTGACCCGAGTGAATGGAGGCTCCAGTAAGGAAGATACTAGAACAATTCTGAAGGTAAGGAGTACTTAATTACCTAAGGAGTACTTGATTACCTTACCACTGAATTTTGGAGTGACTGGACCTTGAAGAAGATTACAGTGCTAATGTATGTATGAGCACACAGTTAATAAAATTTAACAAATGCTATGGGCTTGACAGTGTCACTAAGTACTGGTTTTTATTCCTCTTGCTGCTTTTCACTTTTATTGACAAAAATTCCCTCAACATCCTGAAATGGGAAAACGGCTAAAACTGTAAAATACCTGAAGCAGAGCTCTTGCATTGCTCAATGGCTGTAAATTATGAAGGGTGTTCCACACAGTTTGGAGACTGTTCAGCTGCCTGTGTGAGGCGCCAGTCTCTTATTATCTTCAGAAACCCTTGGTTATAAGCAAGTTGGTGTTGTATTCCAGGATAACACTTCTCTGATTGTTTTAAGAGCTATTCTTAATAATGTAGAAATTATGGGATATAAGCCATACTTGATGCTGTGGTAATTGATATTGATGCTAAAAGGAGGTACTGGACAGAACTGTGTGTGAAAAGTGAAATCATAAAGGAACCTCTACAAAACTGTCCTTCACATTGAGCTACTTTGTGTGGAGTCCTTGGTCTGCTGTCATTAAACTTTTCTTGTAGGTAGAAGCTTACTTCCTCTTAAACAAGTGGAAGCAGAAGAGAGAATCTTGAGGGTCCGCCTTGTTGTTTGAGCAGCCAGATGACAAGGAGCAGATAGCAAAACTTACTCTATTTTCCTTACTCTTTGCAACTGGTAATAAGTATTTTTGCAGTCTTGTGGGAACAACTTGAAGGGAAAATTTGCTTTATACTGCTAAGCACTGTTTACACAGTGTGTATAAAAGAGCAGTGAAATTCGATCAATTTTTAAAGTGCTTATTTTTTCTAGTTTTAAAAGTATGTTTTAGATGGAGAGTTATATTTCTCAGTGCTGCCAGTGCGTCTGAGTTTAGAAATTTGTGAGCAGCAAGGTTGACTCTATTTGAAGCTAGCAGAGTTGTAATACTTCTGGCTCTGGCAAGATTTGTAAAAACCAAAGACAAACTGAAGCCGTATCAACACTCTGCTACTTAAAATCAAGGAAGATGCGTCTTAAAATCATACAAAATAAAACTTTGTTACTCCTTAAGCTGGCAACCCGCTTGATCTTGAGGCGTCCTGCCTGCCTTACCTACCAACTTAGTGAAAATCCTGATAAACCATTTCTCTCACTTGAGCCCCAAATAATCTCAGTTATCTTGGTTTCATTGTATCTGGGGAGTATCTTCCATTGGTTAATCGTGAGTTTGTTTACATTGCTTCTCTTTTTGTAACATATCTGCTCTTACTTTCTATGTGCAAATGCTATCAAAACTTTGACAGTCATGGTTACTCTACAGATACAGCATGAAAAATTGTCTACTCTGTAGGGTTTTTAGAATTTGATTGAAGGAGGCACTGACTGATCAGGGTTTAATTTCAGGTTTAGCTGTTGTATAATGAGCTGGCCCTTGGAAGTCTCTGTTGTCTAAACTTTTATGACAAGTGTCACACAGTTTCAGTCATTATTTGAACAAACTTGAAACTTTTTGTTCTCCCAAGCTGTGAGAAGACCGTATGAGAAAAAATAACTAACTTCCATTTACCTTTCTTGCCTTTCTATCATATAAAAACCAAAAGCAACTTTTCTGTCTTGTTATAACAAAATTCATCTCCTCAGGATGGTTTTAATGTTGATACCTGCAGTGTCAGCAGGTACGTGTGAGTGTTTGCAGAACTGCATTGCAGCATTAAAACCAAATGAAGCTGGGTGGGATCTCTTTTTAGCTTTGGCCATAATGACACTGGTTATGTAGAAAGGACAGTATGCTGAAATACAAATATGTAGATAAATCAAGTGTTTCTAAGAAAAGCAAAATTTCCTTACTGAGAAACAGTGTTACTTGAGAGAGAATCTCTGCCTTTAAGTGCATTTAAAATTTTTTCTGTGAATTTTTTTATCAAATGTTGAATAACCAGAATTTATTTTAGCACAAGGCTACTATAGAATTGTTTCAGCACTAATAATTTTATAGTTATAGCAATTAAGGCCTTTTTTTTGTAATTCTCTTGCCACCATGATTAATCAGAAAAGGGGCAGCCTACCATTAAAGAATACTGTGCCAAAAGGAAGTATGGGTGAAAAAAAAAAAAGAAACTAAAGTAGGGAGGAAAGTCTGAGGCTGTAGTTTTACAACATGTCTGGAATACACAATGGCAGTCTTGGGACAGTTGCAGCCTAGAGCCACAATTCATAATAAGTTGCGCCAAAAACAGTTCAGTCACTTCTGCTATAAGCTTTAGGCTGCCTCTATTTAACCCTTAACTGATGTGGTTCTACCAAATGTCAGTAAATAACTGGTTTCCTGTTTGTTAATTTGTACAGGAAGGATTTTCTGTTTGCTTTACGAAAATAGGTTGTTAAATTGTTCTTACTAACATGTTGCCTAAAGCTGTTACTTGACAGGAAAAAAATGGTGAAACAGACCATATCAGGCAGGGTTTTATATTCATCCAGAGCAAATGTCACAATGTTCAGAACGGGCCAATAAAGGGCTTGTTGAATTTTGTCTAATTTTAATTCGTGCTTCTCTAATTGACAAAATAAATGGGATCAGTACTTTTGCTCCAAATCTGTTCCTCAGCAGATCCATAGGAATGATGAATGTCAGTAGCAGTGAGAGCGTAATATCCAATGTATTGTATTAACTTTCTTTTCCACAGGATAAAAAGAGTGTAATCTTTTGTTTCTTTGATGTTTCATTAGTGGTAAATTAAGCTGCATAGGAAAAGAAACTGAAAATTTCTGAGTTGTCATGCAGGATAACTAGTGTTTTTTCTGCTCCTGAGGGAAGGAACTGAAAACCTCTGTGCCATCAAATCTCTACTTAGGTATTATTGAATTCTGTTCAGGAGATTTTAATGTCTCTGCATTATCGGTTTTAGGTATTTTAAACCTGAGGATTCTTCCCCCTTCACATCCCATCTTAAGAAGCTCTGGCAAATAACTGGTGGCTTGTTAAATTCAGCATCCACAGAAATGCAGAAACTCTGGTCTCTGAAGGATAATGAGAACTAAGAATCTCTATGTACTATTTTCAGTGTCTCATACAGAACAATGTTCCATGATATCAATTAGCTTTATCCCAGTTTCCTGTGCTGCCTGGCTGTAATCATGAAATCCAATTAGAAATCTGAATAAGAGAGCTGTAATTTCTATTTAATGTACTTGCTTGAGAAATTACTATTTCCAGAGGTAAAAAAGCAGGTTAATCCATGCTCTGTTCATACCATTAGTCCACAGCTTTGTACACTGTTTTTTGAGACTGAATGGGATGCTTTCCTGCTTTGGCAAACCTGTCCAACAAACACTTCTCAAACTTCAGTTTTGTGTACGCTTCTTTACCTCTTCTGTCAGCACCAGGATATTTTTGCACACTTACAGGTTTGAAGGTTGAATTTTTATTATTGAATTATTTATTATTCTATTATTTATTATTGAAACATTTATTGGTTATTTTTCTTCTGTCTTTTGCAGGAAACTCAGTAATATAATATTCTTCCAGACCACGTTTAGCTCATAGTTTGCCAGTTAAAGAGAAGAGTCTTGCATGAGAATTAAAAATAAGTCTATGTACCAAAAGTATAGTTTTGCTTTTCTAGGATGTGGCTTCAGAAACCCTTTCTTGGGATCTGCATTGTCAGGGGCTTTCCTGGAGCATTTGGGAATGCTCAGCTTTTTGTGATTGCATGGGGATACAAAAGCATTTAGGGCATAAATGACCTCAAGAATCTTGCTGACTGAAAGGACAGGACGTGCTTCTGTGTGTAAGGGAAGCACATACGCCAGTAGGGTGTTGTGGGCAAAATATCCAGAAAAAAATCGGTGTGATTAGGTCCATTGGAAGCTCCTGAGTTGTTGTAAGAAGCAACTGCTCCTTATCTGAGCCACTGTCACAATTGGCAGTGACTGGCAGGGATTCAGTGGCCTGAACAGATCAAATGGATTAGGGGCCATTGGATTGCATATTTAACAAGCAGCAAGCAATACTGGGGGTGCTCAGAAGTGTGCTCTGAATGAGATGTGTTGAATTGTTGCTAGATAGAGGCTGTAAATTAATTTTTTTTCCCCCCATAGAACAGTAAATGGAAATAAATCTATTAGTCTGTAAATAATACAATTCTTTTTTCTGTTGCTTTTCTCCCCCTCATACCCAAAAATGGTGTTTGAATTGCTGTAGTTGTTCAGTATATGTTAATGCATTCTAATGCACCTATGCCTTAAGTACCTGTCTGAAATTTGAAGAGAGTTTCCTGAGGGGATGCAACAGTAAGTTTATGTAGTTACAAGCAACTTCCAGGACTATCTTAGTCTTTTAATCCTGGGTTATGGAATTTGTGAAAAACTAGGTTCATTTTCCTGGTAGATCTTAAAAGGTTAAATAAAAGACAATGAGAGACAAACAATAAAGCAAAAGGTTATAATTCAGCCAAGAGCACACCTGCTGTTTTGGAGACACCCCTTAAATTCATCAGCCTGTCTCATATTCATAGACCTATCATGCATTTTCAAACTTTTCTATAAACTATTTTCCATATTCCAGGAGCTGTTTTACATGGCCACTCCTTGAGTCTGCCTTTTTAGAGCATGTGTGTTTCTTGTTTATTTTTCTTATGAGTCTTAATTTGGGCTGTGGTCTTCAATTTCTACAGACAGTCGGTGCTGGTAACTGGTATATCAGTAGCAGGGGTCTTCACTGGGTATTACCCAACCAAACAGTTCACTTGATAGTTCACTTATTACAAAGACACTTTATTAGTCTATGTTACTCCTAAAGAAAACTATATCTTAAAAAGCATTTCAACACCACATCCATCCTAATATTTGTGAAAAGCCAATACTATAATATTTATTTATAACAAAATTCATTTAAGCAGAAAGACAAATGATTCAGATGACAGCAGGCAGACCTGAATTTCCTGGATGTGATAGAAATTCTATATAGTTTTGTGTTCATATTTTCATTAGTCTCTCCAGAACAGGAGCACTGTTTCACTTTAATACTGTTGTCACTTAAGCAAACTTTCAGGAATTTAGCACTTTCGGTTATTAGCCAGTAATACAACCATCCATGGGAAGCATAACCCACGAGGCAGGATTAACTAAATGTGCCTAATGCACTTGAAAAAATATGGTGTTTCTGAATTAGCATGACTTGCAGGATGAAATTAGAATATCTGCCTTTATTTTAGGGGAGGAAGGTAAATGTTTTAAACCAGAATTTTAAACTAATGCTAATTTATACAAGACTAAACCATTTTTGTCAAATTTAATTTGTTCAGTTAACTGACTTCATAAAATTTGATGAACCAGAATAAATAATTGTTCACGCTGTAATGGCTCACCTTGCCTTTAAAGTTTTAGGATTTTTTTGATTGATGACTATTTTGAGTGTACATGTGCAATATAAAACTCAGAATTAGCATGCTGTAATTTCTTTGATGCAGAAATACAAAATTTTCAGCAGGGAAATAACTGTGGTGATGGTAACTTCAGAGATAATGAGCTTTTTACTTTACAAAATCCTGATTCCATAGCCTAAGCTAAGAAGAATGGGGGAGGACTGGGAGAAGGTAAAATTTCAGTGGTGTTAGTTTTTTATTATAATCCATGTGGAATTTCTGGTTAATGAAAATGTTATGTAAATGTTAATGTAAATGAAAAATGCTGGTCAGAGAATTTGTTTCAAAATGACAAGTTTGTGGGTTTTTTTCCCTAGTACGCAGATCTTTAGATTTGAGGTTTTTTCTTCCTGCAAGTTTTTTCTTCTTAACATTGGATTTGCCTTTGTCTTGTGAGTAGGAAATTCCACAGAACTGTGGTTACATGTTTGGGGTAATTTGAGCACTAACTAACATGAACAAAGCAGTAAACCAGACTAAAGATTTGAAGCTATATAGCCAGGGGCAATTGACCTTACAGAATTTTAACTATGCAGGGGTTAATATGTTTCCCTGATTGGCTCTAATAAAAGAAATCAAAGCAGACATGGGGATGTTCAAATATTACAGAAGTACAGGAGTCCTGTCATAAAGAGGTTATCAAAGAATAGAAAAGTGGCTTAATAGAGTCGAACTTGTCAAAAGCAAGTGCAAGTTTAGATGTCTTGAAGTCTCAGCATTCTAGTTTTGTGTTTTGGTCTTGGTTTATTTTCAATATATGCATTATAGGAAATCCCTATATCAGTAAAATTATGTGATCACTAAAAGTACATGCATTAAGGCCAGATATTATTTTGTAAATGTTCACTAAGTATTAACTCGTTTCCCCTTGCCCAATATTTGTTTTTACGATAAGATGTTGTCTGAAGATGGAATGTGCTGTAATTGAGACTGAAAAATTCAATTTTTTTTAAATGTTAGTTAAGTTTAAGCTGCTTACCTCTGTTTCTAGGACAGGGGGAGGGAGTGGCTTAAGCAGATGATATGCGCTTCTTTTTTTTCCTTCAGATAAGGGGAGTTTCCAAATCCAAGGAAAAGCTGAGAAACTGTTTTTGTAGGTGTCTGTAAATAATGTTGTAAAACTAAAGCTGGCTAATGCTAGGGTCCAGGTTAGAGAAGGTAATTTTATTGTTACATTTCTTTAGAGGAAAGTAGGGGGCAGAAAGGTGCAAAACTGGATGTCAAGTAGGTAGGATTTAGAGAAAAGGAAGGATGGGTGAAGAGAGCTGATGTGTGATGCCTGTGTCCTCAGAACTGATAAACTTGAGCAACACTGAGCCTGTCAGCCTGTTATTTTCTGGCAGAGAATGGTTGCATACAAAAAGCCATGAAAAGGACTCTTTCTGTTAATATGCTTTTGAAATAATTATTTACTGAACCTGGATGGAAGCCTTCTACTACCCACCCTCATAGCCTCTGCTCTGGAACAGTTGAGATGCTCTTAAAATGCTGAAATTCTCTTTCTTAGACAGCAGCTGAATTGACAATACCAATCACAAAGAATCATTAGCAGTAATTTCAGCATTAATAAAAGCAGTGTCAAGTGATAGCAGCTGATGGGTATCAAGTTACCAGCATCAAGACTGAAACTTGTCTCCCACTCCACTCTCCCTTTGTGCTTCCCTGATTCTTATGACATTACTGTTCCCGAACCTTGCTGACCAGCTGCACGGAGTCCTGGAGGACAGGCATCACTGCTGCTGGGAGAACAGTATGCTGTCCTTTTATCATAGGACTGCATTTTCTGTTAATCAAATGTTAAACATTTGAATTTGCACTCATAGTAAATACACAACTCTCTAATTTTTCAATTTCAGTAATTTGAAGCCAAGACAGACTTGAAAGTATTTCTGTGGTGTCATCTTAAAATAAATTGCATTTGCATTTACAAAAATTTTGGTAAGTATGAAGCACTTTGTTTAGAGACCAGCATTTAAATTTTACCTAATTCTCACTGTCAAAGAATGATATTTTATTTTATTATCTTGTCACTTCTTATATTGTGTGTTTTAACAGTTTGCTGAGTTGGGATAATTTAAAACTGGTGTTTATTTTATATGCATGGTCTCCAGAGGAAATGTCTATTATTTTTAACAACTGCCTTAATAGATTGTTTCACGGAGTCAATACTACAGCAGTATAATGACTTTTTCTTTTTTAGGATCTTAACATGCACCTTGAAGACAAAGTCTACCTTGCAGGAAACATTTTTACCTTAGCAGACATTTTGATGTATTATGGATTGCATCATATCATGGTAAGCATTACTTGCATCATTTTTATATGTTCAACTTTTAGAATTGTTATCTGTGTAAAGGGCACTTTATTGTTGTAGAAGTTGACCTACTGAATGGAACAGAGGAATATAAAACTTGTTTTTAAGTTTTTCATTTTATTCTTTAATATTTAGCTATGGATCCGTCAAAAGACCTGTAGTGTCAAAATGCTTTAGTTTCCTCTGCAAAGTGTAGCAAGGATTATACCTATCCTTGTATTTCTAGGATTGAGAACTTTTGCCTGTTCGAGTCTGAAACATGACCATACTACAGAACTGCAGTCACAGAAGTACATGGGGAAACAGATAAATGAAGCTGAAAGGATGTATCAGAACTGAAAGAACTAACTTCGTTAGTATTAGAGTTAGTATTATATTACAAACGCACGTAAATTAAGCTCCTTAATGCACATAAAAAAGTTTGAGCCATAACAAATTATCATTTGTGTTTCCAGACTTAAGTGATAAGACTTGATAAGGTACATAATATGAAAAGAATACGGGGAGCTGGTGCTTAGGAGGAAAAGGGAAAAAAAATCCACTCCAAAAATAAATTTGTTCTGAGTGGAAAGATGTTGAGATTATTTGTAGTCTGCTCAGGCTATTATGAAGTGCTTAAAAATTGGTGCACCTTCAGTTCTGAATCCCAATTAATTTAAAGATAAAGCAGTAGAAACTATTTGCATTTTGGTGGCTGGAATGTGTTTGTAAATGAGCCATTGTCATCCTCTGGAGTGGGAAAAAACCAAAGGACTCAAATAAAAAGGTCTAAATTCTTGGGAGAAGATTAAATCAGTCAAGAAAATTGAGGGGGGAGCGAGGATAGTTAGAAGATGCTTTTGACAAATGCACGTGTGTCTGAGAATTGAATTCAGTCAACTGGGTGAATGGTTACTTTTATACAATTAAAAGCAGATCTCTGGGAGAAGTGTAGAAGAATACTACATTTCAAAATGGAAGCAGAAGGGAGGGGCAATCAAGCAGTGAAATTTACCAGAAATTAAAGAGAACTTATGTATCTGTATCTTGCCTGTCCAGAAGTTCAAATGAGTGTCAAGCAGAGGAGAGGGAAGGTTTTTGAAAACATGCTAGAGTAAGTCACATAGAATTAATTCTGTTAAATCACATTTACCTTGTAAAATGTCTTAAGCCATAGGATAGATGTGTTGATTACAGTATCAGAATGGGTTACCTTTCACATATGATATGCAGCCAAAAAGAAGTATATAAGTATTTTCTAAAAATATGATTGTATATTCTGTTAGAGAGTATAAGCTCAAATTAGACTTTAAAAAAAAAAAAAAAACAACTTGGCAGGGGAAAATCCAAGCATATTTTAAATTTAGAGTTTGCTCTAGAGTAGACCACCTAATCAAGATGAAAAGATACATGTTATTGCTTTGGGAAATAGAACAGATGGTAAAAACAAATGACTTGGTGCTCCTGGGTGCCTGCAACCATCCAGACACTACTTGGGACAAGTTTATAGTACAGCATCTGTTTCTGAAATGTTTTATTTCATCAAATGTAATTTTCTGAATTGGAAGGGTACGAAGGGCAAGCAACAGGGTGACTATTCTAAATAAATATAAAAGTCTAGGAGCAAGTAACTAGGAATTACATGTATTTTCAAGGTTTCAGAATTGATAAACATATAGAGGCAGTACCTTGAATTGTAGAATCTTATGATTTTATTTTTTTTAATATCTTTTAATTATTTTTATTTTCCTTGTGATCGGAAGAGAGTATGTCCGGAGCTGCTGCTCTGCCCTAAGCTTTATGGGGGAGGCAGGGAAAGCTGCTGTATCTCCTCATGTGATGTGGTTCAGAGAAGCAGTTTGTCATATCCATCACTGCTTCAGCTAAGCCTTGTGCTAAATATCAATATGTATTTTCTATGATACTTTTAAGAAAGGAGGTAGAAATGGGAGACATGGGGCAGATCTTGCTGTCCATCAAGTTGACTAGAGAATTGATCTGAAAACATTACTGGTAGTACCTTAAAGGTTAATCTCTGCTTTTGATGGACTAAAAACTACATGCTAACACAGATATTAGTGATGGGATACTGTAAATATTACTTACATACTGTAAATATTACTGAATAAGCCAAGTAAAACTGTAAAACCCTTCTAATGTTTCATTTTCAGTTTTTAAGACCGATTTATTCCTATAGCTCAGTTCTTCACCTGTGGTATCTTGGTTTCTCTGATTATAGATCATGCATATTTGTATTTGTTCCCCCTTCCCATCTTCATTTTGCCCTTCCCATTATCCAGGAGGGGTTCTGGGGTCTGGTTCTTCCCTGTCCTGGCTCATCCATTTGAACTGATGGTTTGTTTACTGGACAGCAGCAATTCTAATTCTGCAGTTGTGTGCCTGCCTTTCATTCTCCCTGTCCCTTCTAGTTCTCATAATAAACACAATAGTGCAATGTATTTAAAAATCCATATTTCTGAGAAATAATTATTTCAGTCAGTGAGGATCAGATTCACAGGTAGTGTTTCGGGTTTTTTGCAGAATATGTTTTGGGGTTTAAATTAGAAATACACATTCATAGTAATAAGTCAGGGACTAAATTGTACACGCTGTTCTGCATCATAATATAGGTCATAAACACCTAAAGAGTGTAATGCTTGATACTGCCTTTTCAATCAATGTGATCTACATTGTCATATATAATTGATGTCTCTGTGTATGTAACATTAATATTGTTGTCTTATAGACACTTCAATTCCAGAAATACATATGTGGATAAATATGAACAATAAAGTTCTACTAGGTTAAAGCATAGATTGCAGAGAAAATATGAATTTAGAAGCATTGCTTGAGGTTATCTTAGGCAATCATTAAGCATTAAGTTCCCCCTGTGGTAATGAATTTGTTTTCTAATCTGGGGGATTTTTTAATTTTTTTTAAGTTTCCAGATGTCTTCATTCTTAAATATTTTTGACCAGCACAAGTCCAGTTTTATTTCAAGAGAAATAATCAATATGATGATTGATCTGCTTTTATACTTCAAAAATGTTGTCAGAACCAAGGAAGCAGTCTCAAATCTATATGTCTGACTTGAAAATTTCTTTAATAACGTCTGGAAAATTATGGGTGAAGTTTATATCTGCAAATGGAAGACGCCTCAGTCAAAATTTTGGTGTCAAACCAAATATGATCAAGTACAAAACAAACTAAGCAGTGGTCCTTGAGTCAGAACCACTAATATTGAACTGTAGTGAGACTACAATAATAGTTTATTTTGGAGTTATTTTTTCCATAAGGAACATTTCCTGTAATAAACAGATTGTCATGACTTTTTGTTAATATTTGCTATATGTTGCTTATTTTAATACTGAGGTAACAGGTTTTTCTTCGAAGCAATAATGCTAAAATGGTAGTTAAACTGAATTGCAAAAGAAGCAGTTTTAGCTTTAAGAAAAAATTAATTTTAAGCTTATTTCTTTAACAGCGGAAAATTAGATAAAGCTATGTGAGAGTACACGTAGGTCATGAAATACAAATACAGGTGTTGGGTTTTTTTCTCTTTCTCCCATATCTAAAGGCTAAGTTTAAAAAGTCAGATAGTATCTATTCTTTTCTTGATGCTGAAGAGGTTCATATATAGGCAGGTATTTTTAGATTTTCCATGACCTGCAGGTTGTGGGAATAGGGCTTTATGCCTGCATCCCCATGCTACAGAAAGAGAATATAATTAAAGCTTGTGTATTTTCAGCCCTTTCAGAAACTCTTAGAGTTGCTTTGTATGATAACCACCTTGGTTCCCCTCGGTGAGCTTTGTGGTGGAAGAAAAAGACTTTTTTTTTCATGACATGGAAAAAAAAGTCTGTTAAATTAAGTGTCTGCTTCCTTGCTATTAAAATAATTGCTTTAATAGCAAATAATTATTTTAACAGCAGAACAGCAGCCTTTCTTAACTTGGGGGAATTATCTAATTTAATGAGGAAGAACAGAAAATACCCATCTAACAAAATGTTGTAAAAAATGCCATGGAAGTGATCTCTAAACAATTAACCTAAGAGTTATGTTCTGAGTAAAAAGTAGAGCATGCCACAAAGTGCTTTTTAATATATTTCACTGATAGAGTACATTATGTAAATAAGTAAAAAAACCTTCCTTGTTGTGCCTAGAGTACAAAAAGGGATCTTATTATTAGCATAGCTGTCTGTTTTGCCCTTCAGATGTTTTTTCACAATGCTAACAGAATGAAAGAGAACTAGTTTTGCAGACTTTTATTTTTTATTTACATTGGAGAAACATGAAGATCGAGAATTATCAGTAAAAGATTATGGGAAGGAAATACTGTATCTGCTGAAAAATCTAAAATTTATCTCAGCCTTTCCATAACCAGGTGCTTATCCATTAAAGACTTTGGAAAAGGTTATTGTAAACTCGAGGCAAGTAAAGCTTCAGTATTTTAGTACTTGCTCATACTTGAGTATCTTTCTTCACTTCTAGTAGTTTTAGATTGCATTAGAGCACACACGTTGTTGTTTTCACATACTGTGTTACTTTGTAAATTGTCCCCCAGTTTTGTATCAAGCATCGGCATTCAGCTACCATTAATTATAACACGCTGCAGATGATCAAAAGCATCTTTCCCTCAATGGTACTGCTTTTTTTTTTTTTTTGGTCCTGGATATACTGCACTTGCAGAGAAGCTCAGGCAGCTTGTGAAACAGTGTTATATTACCATAGATTCCATTTTTCATTCGTAGTGCCTTTAAAAATCCTAGATTCCCTCCTCCCCCTTTGTTAGTGCTGTTCTGGTTAGTGCTATTCACTTGGTTAATTGCCAATAACTCTCTTATATTTCTAGATCAGCAAAAATATGTGGCTGGTTTTTATGGTTTATCTCTGCATTTCTATCAGACTATACAACTGTAGGAACAGTGTTTACGTTTCCATGCCAGCAGCAAGAAAAGCAGATTTTCTCATGCTGCCTGAACTGGGGTTCATAACAGTGCAGAATTGCAGTTGTCACTGGAATATGTCTGTAGTGCTGTGCTTGTATTCCGGCAGTACATTCCCTAGGAAGAGCAGCTACATGGGTTTAGGAGCACCTGCAAGATCCCTGCTTTTTGATTGCTGCCACAGTTATTGTTCTCTTAATTTCCCATTAATTTAGCTTTAATGCTGTGTTCCATTGGGTTAGAATTCCCTTCTGCAACTCCTTGGAATTGTTCTTTCCCAGTATTTTTCCATTGGTTCATCTTCTAGTATGTATCCTTACTTTCTTTTTGCCACTATGTTTATAAAATTTCCCAGTTCTAAGCCAGGTGCTGGGCTGTGTGAGAGAACAGCAAGGAGAAGCAGCAAATCTGATAGGAAACTCCTGAAATTAAAAGGGTGGCATGTCACAAGGTGAAATTTATTTAGAATAAGACTGGGTTTAAAGACCTGGTTTTTACTCATACACTTGAATATCTGTAAATGTATGTTTAACTCTTTCTGTAGTCCAAAGTTTGTTGAAACTTGTTTTTGAGATTTGTTTCCAGCTGTCTTGTGCCCAAGACCGAATTTTCAGTGAACCTGCAGCATCCATAAAATCTAGTGTTTGTAGAACGAAGCATAAGGAATATGCCATCTGTTTAGCTTTTGAGGAGATTACCCTTGATTAGCTTTAGAAATCTAAACATGAAAAATATTAGGCATGTCTAGATAATTATTTATCTGTTAAAACTCTCCTCTACAGATGTGCCCTTTTTCATTGACTGCCAGCATTGTGAAGATTTAAGTTAAGCCTGATGGTTAATTGGCTAACTGAAAATGAAATGAGGTGAATCCTGATTGGTTTCAGTATTGGTGAGATAGGATTGGGTAGTTGATGTGAGGATCACGTTTTGTTCCTGGTACAGGTTTTATAGTCTGTTCTGAGGACTACCCCATTTGTAATTCAGTTGTAGAATGTTAATGTGAGAAAAGAGATTATGGTCTAAACTGATAAGCCAACTTGATTACAGAGAAATAAGAAGACATAAAATTGCTAATCAAGAATAGTAATACAGGTGATACAAAATGGGAATACTTCTACAGCTGGCTTGAAACACTCCGAAGTAATAACAGACTTTGTTGTAAAGCTTTGAGGATGCTGATGACCTAAGTTTGAAAGGCTTTTAAAGGTAGAATCTGGATCTGTAACTGTAGATAACCTAAGCCAGTCTTCTGATTAAAGATAGGCTTTAAGTTCTGCATTAGTCTTAGCCACATATGCTGTGAAAAGGAGCTGTTGCAACAGTGTGATACAGGCTTGTTCCTGATTGATCTTGAAGCTGTTCTGTGTGATAGTACTTTAAATATTTTTATGAAGTATGGACAGGTTTCCAGTTTGTTTTACTGTTGTAATTTGAATCATGCCATTGCTGTCTTAACAATGTAAGCTAGCAGATGTGAACAGTTAAGTTATGCTGGTTCTTAGTAACTATTCCATTTTGAGCAATAGTCATACAAAACAACTTCCAATTACCCTATCCAGTCTGAAATTGCCTGGAAAAAATTTACTCCTGTACTTACAATACACCTTGAAATACGAAGTAGTCACTTTGCCTGTGAGACAAGACTGTCTCAGTGAACGACCATGAAGGGGTTGTGCGTGTTGTGGAACTCTTCCCTGCACCACCCAGTACTGTATGCTGACCCCATGAATAGAGAGATGCATTAAATTCATGCAAGCTTTTCACTCCTCTCTATCATGCAACTATATATTCCACCTCCAGGTCTGTTCCTTTGAGTAGATTAAATTTCCATACATATTATGGGTTTGAGTTTTACTATGTGAAATTAGGATAGAATACTGCTAGGCTGTAACAAGTTACTTGAATTTAAATCATCTGTAAAGCAATCGACTTTTATTTTGCCTTACCACATGTTATGACTCTAATGATGCAGTGCCTGGTGTTACTGGTGCTTTGTGTTTATTCCCCATCCAGGTGGACCTTACAGTGCAAGAAAAGGAGAAATACCTTAATGTGTCTCGTTGGTTCAACCACATTCAGCATTACCCAGGTGTCCGACAGCATCTGTCCAATGTCATCTTTATCAAGAACAGATTATACACTAATGCTCATTAAGGCAAATCTTAATGTCGTGTTAGAATGAGATGGGGGAGTTTAGGAATTGTACTGTCCAAAGCCACTAACCTGCAAGTACTGTTTTGTAACCTTCTGTATGTGAACTGAAAATGTCAATGCCTCAGATAATGCAACTGCATTGAATTGCTGTTGTTAATCAAGAATTAGACCTAAAGAAATATTCTGTATCTGATTAAATGCAAAAATGGTGGAAAGATGGAAATGAAGTTTTAATTCACTATTTTTTAAAAAATTTAAAGTTCTTTTAATTAAACATTCAAGTGAAATTACATCATCTTTACCATCAATTATTCACTCCTTTTGCTATTTATTGAATTTTTATGTATGTCAGCCAGCTTTCCTTTTGTTTTCCATGGATGTTTACACTAGTTTTGTACAAGTTAAGATCTATATTGTGTGCCAAGGATGTGAAAAAGGGAACATGCAAATGTTACAAAGTATTTATGTGACCGAATAAATTATTTTAAAACTGTAGTCTTAATTTGGCTATGAAACTTTCTAGTTTTTCTTCAGTAGATTTTTAAAGGTTAGTTCACTTCCTGTTTCATTTTGTGGCGTACTGTTTTGTATCTAGAAGCATTTCCTTTCAAACCGAGTAGCAAAATTAGTGTTCTTAAAGATTTTGCATGTGCCTCGCTTCATAATTTGCTACATAAGTGCAAATGCACTTTTCCACCCCCCCAACAAAACCAACCAAAACCCTCAACTTGAGATAATTTGCTGCTTTATCAGGTTCATTGGCAGTGTTTAAAATGGGTTTTAAAGCCACCTACACTATTGTTGTCACACATTTGGATGGGTCATTCTGCTGTAGAATGTGGTCCTCTGATTTTTATTTGTACAAGTATAAAAATGCTAACTTGAATTGGTTAATGATCTTCTGCACAATTCAGATAACACTCCTTTTAAGACATGAAAGAAATACAAAAATAGTTTGATATTTTAATTGATAAATCAGCTATGTTGGTTTCTTCAGCAGTGTTTAGTGGACAACTTCACTTGTACATTCTTTTGTTTAATGTGCTACTTAGAAGCCTCGCACCCAGTAAATACAAAAAAGCTATTTTGGATAGAAGTTTGAGCATTTTGAATGTTAAAAGTCCTTTAAAAAATAAAATTAAAATACATCCTGACGTATAAATGGACAGAAGAAAATTGCAAGGGTAAGCATTACCTGAACAATTCCAGACTCTAATAGGTATTTTCTCTAGATATACATAATTTTATTTTTAATTCTTTCACTGAAGGTTTACAGGCACACCAAGTTACTTTTAGGGCAGAAATTTCAGAAATTCTCACCATTTCCTGGGGGCTTAATTCTCTACTTCTAGCTACTCTTTTTCCATGCTATTTAGAAACTTACCTTATGTACTTACAAAGATCTCTCTGAAATCTTGAGATCTGTTCAAGAGTTACGGAGTGGGCTTTAGTACAAACGTACATTAGAAACTTCATTCTCAAAGCTTTTCATATTTCACTGCCTGAAAGCTTCAGCTATTTACAGTCAGTACTTGTACTCTTAATATCCAGTTTATGCAAACATTTGTTGCCTAAATAGTGTGTATTCAATGAGTGTGTGTTTTCCCCTTGTGTGGGAGCAAGTGATGAAAAGACTTAGAAAAATACCTGCACTTCTACTAAATTCTGCTACAATGAACCCTTTTCTGTTTCAGAAGGGGAGCATGGGTATGAATCATCAGTACATTTGGAAGGGTTTAGGGAAGTTTCACATTTATCTTATGGATTTATTGTTTTTATCTATCCTTTTGCAAGTAAGAATGATTTAAATTCTTTAAAGTGAATGTGCAAGCCTTCATCCATGAAAATAGTTTCCATTACAGCTGAGAATGCTGAAATTGAGCCAGAGCTAAATGTTGCTGGGAACAATACTGTCATCTTTTTAGACAGGTTGTTGTAGAGATGATGCTACAAAATGTCATATTTTTTTAATCCCAAACAGCTGCTGTTTGCAAGTATTGGGATTTCTTAGGTTGGCTACATGCTACTGCTGCAGTATCCCCTAGCCTCTTGTGCTAGTTTTATTTTCTCTTGTGTAGAACAAAAGTGTTACTTGCTGCTGAAATGTTAAAAAAAAAAAGAGTTCACCTAGTAGAAAGATGAAATGTTTGGAAGTGAATTAGTAATATTTAACTCTCTACTATCTAAAAGGCTTTTGGTCATTATCATATAGTAACGAGCATATTTCAATTTTCTTTCCTCTATTTGGGAAAACTTGGGGGGATAGAGGGTTAAAAGCAAAGAAGGATGAATTGAGACTTTGCCTTTAGAGAGATGACTGGGAAAACCAGATGGTATTGATTTTTCTTGCCTCTCCCCCTTTTTATCTAATGGCTTTTGATCAAGGACAAATAAATCTGTAAGAAAACTTCTGAAAAGTCACACAATTCCGAGTTGGTCTGAGACTGTATGAGGTACATGTTTTACAACTATGCTTCATAATTTTGAAAGATGAGGTGTGTAGTGGGTGCTCTCAAATCAACATTGATGGTTTATGTAAAGGGTTTGCATTGGATAAATGTTCAGCTGTTTTTAAAGCTACTTCCTCTTTCTGTAATATTTTATTACACTTTCACTGAACATTAGTAAAAGAGACTTTGCTCCCTTGCAACCCCTTTCTCCATTCTTAAAACTCTAGTTGCTGAAGGGCGCTGTGATGTTTTACTTTCATTGCTTTGCATTTTGATGATGATGATGACCACAGTGATGTGTGGAATTTATTTTCACAGCATTTCATGAACAGCAACACTTTCATTTGTTAATGTATCTCATCATTGCAGTATTATTATTTTGCATAATTGTTCTAATTTATTCAAGGGGCCTGACATGTTATGGTCTTATAAGTATGTGCCCCTGGGACTTGAGTGTGTTGCCATATGGTGAGATAGTGCTGCATGACAACCTTTCAGCAACAGAAGAATTCAACAGTGAAATAAATATGATAATTGTAAGTGTTCAGTGAAATCCTACACTTAGCACTTTTTCTCCTTGATGCCAAGATGACAGCTTGTAGACCAAACAGGTTGAATCAGGTGTTCAAGTATTGCATAAGATATGTTAGAAATGTGCTGATGATTTTTAGTTGTCTTTATGTGTGTAACTTCATTTTTAAGTGAGAATTCAGTTTGACTTCTGAAGTCTCTAGTGGTGTTTCTTTCTCTGAGACTTGTAACTGGGCAACAGTGATTTATAGAAAAATCCAGGTTTAATACGAGATTAGGAAAGAGTGAGCAGAGATGAGAAATTTGGAAAGATTACACAAAAAAAAAATAATTCCAGTTTAGACCTGAGGACTAAGAAAATCTGACCATTCAGATGGAACCAAAATGAAGGCTTTTCAGCAGCAAAACTAAAGAAATAATTTATGATAGCTTAAATGTATAACATGCGTTCTGTCATGTTCCTGGTTATCAGTGATTTACCTTCCAGGTTGGCATACCAGTGTTTCACACAGAAAATGAGTTAGAAGGTATCCACTTCTGGTTCACACTTGAAACACTCCAATCCAGCAAGTTTTGTTACCCTGCTTCACCCCACCCACAGTAAGTACTTGCTGTTAATAGGTTTGCACCTATTGAATTTCCTGAGATTCTTCGTGTAGAAAGTGTACGTTTTGCCAGTGAAGCCTCCTAGCAAACACTTTGGTTATTTGCCTGTAAGAGGTGATATTTTCATGTATTTTTATCTTTTTTATCTTGTATTCCGTCTCTATAGCCTACTTAATACTCTTCAAAATATTTGTAAACTGGAGTAGACCTTCTCATGAATTTCATTATACTGGCCAAATCTTTGGAAGCACATAGGCCTAGAAATGGGGAGCTTATTTTTTGTGAGATGCATCTTAGAACTTTCCAATAGGTGTAACAGCTTTGTAGTGTCTTGATAAAAAATCAAAACCAAAATAATTCTACACCTTTACTTTGTTTCTCTCTCATACACATATACACGTGTTAATTTCAATTATAGCTAATGGAAGGTTATTCTGGACCCTTCAGTGTGGGTGTGGATCCTGGGTTACTTGCAGGGAGCTGAGACTCTTAAGTAAGGTTTAATGTAGATGTACTTTGCAATTCAAATAAGACATTCATTTATATTAACTGTTTTATATGAAAATGTGACTTAAAGTGGTTTTGTCTGTAAAATAGACCCAGGTCCAGATAGAAGAGCAGTGGAACTTGGGTATCTTTATTTTTCACTTGGTTAAAAAAACAATAGATGATCAAAAGTCAGCTGTTGATTTGAAAGAGGACAAAGTACTTGAAAAGCAGTTAGCTGAGAGAGATGAAAATAAAGGGATAGAACTATAAAATCATTATTAAGAAATCCCATGTAAGCTCTTCTGCTTAGAATGGTTCATATTCTTTCTGATCTGCTACCATCTTCTGTTTGCATCTCTGCAGCTGATTTATGGTTTGTCTGCTATGTTGAATGCAGAAGCTGGGAATAGATTTTTCAAGCAGATTTGCTTAGTATGGCCATAAATTGATTTTACAATTGTATGTATATACAGAATATTGTATGAAATTTTTTCTACCTTTTTTTTTTCTTCTCAAAAGAGGGATCTGTAGGCCTATTTTATATTCTTCCCTTTTTGTTTTTAATCTTATCACCTCTTTTAATCTTTAGCGTGTTTCACAGTGTTTAACTTCAAAGTGTAATTGCAATGATGCAGCTGCTTAAGGGATTGCTACATTTAATATTTTCCCCCCGAGAGCAGTATTTCTTCTTTGCATCTATAATTGGATCATGCTGCTGCTGTCCCTCATGGAAATGCCAGGTTTCATATTCACTATACACCTGAGCACATGCTTACTCACTTGGTAATCCTTGTATTTTTTTTCTATTTATTTATCAAAATCGACTTGGATTGCACATATTTTCTTTGTGTTGTAATCTTATTGCAAAAGAAATTAAAGGGGAAATGCCATCATGCACCCCTTGCTTTGCCGAGTCTTCAGATTCCGACTGGGTCTTTGTATCCCACCGCTGCATGTCTTGAATGTGAGATGTATCCTACCTCAGAGCCCAGCTCCAGGGCGACACAAAGATACCACAGATTTGGAAAGGGGCATCGATTTTGTAGCAAGCATTACTTGTTGCTGCTCTGTGCACGTTCCTGCAGGCGTGGCCTTTATTTTCCATGCTGGTCGTGACTACAGCCAGCGCGGCTGCCACAGAACACCGCACATACCATCTCTCACTCTGCAGGCAGGCGGGAGGCGATTAATTTTTCATTGTTGCTGCATCTGAAGGATTCCCCTTTCCCCTCCCACGCTACCTTGGCCCCTTTAGGAAGATTTTCATCCATTAAACTTTCCCTTCTCTGTTGGAAGAACTAAATCTCTTTCAGCATTTTCAGGCTGGTGATCTAATTTGACAGCTCGTAGGTGATGTCTATTCCTCTTCAAAGAGGCAGGTAGCCCCGGGCTAGCCAGCTGCATTGTGGATTCTGCAGATTTGGCTTGCTGTTCCTGCTGGGTGTCATCTGTCTTCTCAGTCTTGCGGTGGATAATTTTTGTCCTCCCCAGCATCATCTGCCTGAGCAGTTTCTGCCTGGCAGGCCTGTCTGTCCAGGTTGAGCATCAAACACAGTGGCCGCACGGCTAATGTGACAAGGCACCCCTCCAAAGAGCGCAGCCTCGGGCCTGCTCGGGCCAGCATCAGCATCGCAGCCCGCAAACTTCCAGCCATCACGATCATGGTCTTGCTCTCCCATCACGGGTGCAGCCCATGGACTTATTCTGCTGGCACAAAGTATGTCCCCCGCCTCGCCCTCTTAAGGGCCGTCGCTCCGATTCCTCCCATCCGGGCAGATGTCTGCCTCAACAGGTTTGGGTTTCCCTGCCTGTTGCCGGCATTTGACTCGGACATCACCACTTGGATGAAATAATCCTTTAGTGGATTATCATCGCCAGACAGCCTGTGGGGGAAATGACAGGACTCGGCACGTTCATCTGAAGATTTTGCAATTCAGAGTGCTGCTAATGCTAATGGGAAGTGGCAGGGTGATCCCTAAAAGAGAAAGCGGGTTCCATTGCATGGCAAAAATGACAGAGGTTGTTTAGCCTATCTTCCAAAAAAATACATGATGACTACATATGTTGATTTTCATGCTCCAAGCCATAGCTATTTCCATATTTTTGTGACTTGATGACTACTTTCTACAAACTGACAGGTTAGGGGCTCCACAAGTATTGTCTTTTTATAGCCATCACCTCTTTAAGTCCTCCTTAATTTCTTTAAAATATGCTTTGAAAATAAGCTTGACTGGGCAATGAGAGTAAGCAGGGGAACAAAAAGCAAAACCAGGCATAAATACAACAAACAGCATATTCTTAAAAAAAAAAAA